GGAAGATCCCATCACCACAGCGGGGTGAAGCAGTTTGTACAAAAAGTAAAAGAGCCAAAATCCACCTTTTTTTGAATAATACACTAATAGTAAGCTCATTTCTAAATTGTTTACTGGAAATTAAGACCTGCAGTTTAAAAAAAAGGCAATGTAGAAGCTCTAAAAGGGGAAATGGCCCCAACTCAGCCGCTGCCATTTTGGAAGCTGTGGCAGAGGATGTTTGATGTTTTGTGATTTTATCTCACTTATTTTCCCATTGCTATGTTGGGTTTGTATTCAGTGGCGCCTGCAGGCGCTTTGGGTCATGACCGAAAGAACGAGGTCCCGGATACAAGCGGCCGAAATGGGTTTCCTCCGCAGGGTGGCTGGGCTCTCCCTTAGAGATAGGGTGAGAAGCTCAGTCATCCGGGAGGGACTCAGAGTAGAGTTGTAGCCCCACCTGGAGAAAAATCCACCAGCCTCCACTGCTTGTTTTCATCAAACGTTTGACTCAAGAGTCAGAATCAAACGTTTGTGTCGATGCCATAGAACTTCTCAAACCAAAACTTGCTGAACTTTAGATTGATTTGGTGATTGATTATTATTTATTTATGATAACACACTTTACTGTTTTTTGTCGGAGTGAAGTCGTGACGGCGAGGCGCATTGAGCCACAGCTTTCTTCTTGTAGCAATTTTGTTTGACTTTGCTAGAGAATTTGGTAAAAGAAGCAAGCTTCTCCTTTATCTTTTACTCGGTCTTGTTGCCTCAAACAATTATACACACTACAAAAGTCACTTTTCCCCATTGCTATTATTGGAAGGAATGTAAGCTCTTGACTCGTACGGTGAATGAACCCCCTTACTTCTGGTGAAAGTGTGAAAACACTGTGTGCCCATGACCAAAATGTGCAAAAGGTCTATTCAAGATGGCTGCGACAGCTTACTGACCTTAGTATAAAACTGACTATGACTCAATCTGTTTTATAGATATTGAGCTAAACTTTGGTGTGGTGAGAGTCATTCACGACACAAACTCTGAGTACCAATATTACTAGACTGAGCAAAATAAACATTTGTCTGTAGGAGTGGACCAGCAGGCCTCAACTGGACCTGGTAATGTTCCTAATGTGCCAGACTGTCCAGGTCTCCTTACGCATTCTCCATCACATTTAGCTCTGGACTCTGGTTAGGTCATTCCTAAACCTTAATTTTATTTAAATGAAGTGATTATTTTGTTGTGTTTTTGTGTTTTGTTGTGTTGTGTTTGTTGTGTTGACGTATGCATGGAATCAAGCTAAAACCTAAAATTCTGCTTCATCTTCAGTTTAGGAGAAGACACTTCAAAGTTTGGGGCCAAATAAACTGGGATTTGGAACGGTTTATAATTTCATTCACCTTGCCTAAAGTAACCCCACAGCATGATGCTGCCACCACCATGTTTATCAACCAAAATAGATTTTGGGATTGTGTCCAAAAAAGATTTGAATAAGGATTGTGGTTTATGATGAGTGGGGATAAATAAAGAACCTATTTGAGTGGGAGCCTCATAAGTGGACCCATTACTCTCCCCAAAGAGACACTGGTTTCAAACCATTCAAACCTTTGCGTCCCTTGGACCAAGGACAAAAGATTAGAAACACTCAGTGTTCTGAGCTTCTCAGGATCCATAAAAGGTTCTCCAAGATTTTTTTTTCCTTTGACCACTCGGAGCCAGGCAGTGGTCTACGTAGTGCAGGTCTCTAATTCAATGTCACAGGCATCACACAGACCACTGTCATGGAGTCCCATCATCAGTTTGTGGCAGTTGAGCAGATTGTGCCCAGTTACAACTCCAACAGTGTAATTTGAGTTTTCCTTGTCAGGGAGATGAGAGCTTTCCCAAACCTTAGATTTGGACCATTAATCAGTTCCCGTGCCTGTCTACAGTCCGTCAACTCCCTCCAGAGGATTGAGTGTTGACATCTAATCCAGGCCTGTAGGGCAGTCCTACAGACTGTTGTTGAGATACCTACAACAGGCTCTGGTCCTTTGAAGTGAGCCTGACTGCCAGCTCTTACGAGGTAGTCAGCTTTCTCGTTACCATAAATACCAGTATGTCCTGGTACCCATTTAACAGTAACAGTGTTATCTCTCCCCAGTTTGGTTGACTGCTTCGGCACACTCCCAAGCCAGTAATGATGTAAAGTGTGGCCCTCGGAGAGCTTTAGTAGCAGCTTGGCTATCTGTTAGGATGAATAGTTCCGTCTGTGTATACGTCTTTGAGAAATATGCAGGGATTAAAATGGTGTAAAATAACAAACAGCAGTAATGTGAAAAAACATTTGAGTCTTTGCTTCCTGGTTGTAGGACACTATGGTGCGATGAAATAGTTGACAGAATCTCTCTTTTCTTTACCTCTTCTTCTTTCTTCCTCAGTCTGATCTGTTGTTCTCTCTGTTCTTCTTTCTCAGCCTTCAGTCGAGACAGCAGGTCTCCCATGCTCTGGTTTTTCTGCTCAGCGAGGGCGAGGGCTGCTTCCGTCATCTGCACTCTGCTCAGAGACACATTAATGGTTCAGAAAATAACAACTGTGATGTTTGAACATTAGTACAACAACAAATAATATAATTATCCAATCAAATGTAAATACAATAAATATAGCAGAGTCCAGCTTATTTAATGAAGGTAAAATGTGCTTTTTACGTGAACGGGAGCTAATATTTAACTTTTTAAAAAAATGTTTATTAATTACCTAGTTAGTAGATTTAATGTGATGCAGGTGTTTGTTTTTATCTACTTGATTTAAAAATAACTGACTGAGAAAAACTGTATTTTTCAGAAGGATGGAATACTGAAAACAAAACAAAAATAAAAGTTTTGTGGCATGTCTGTGATTTATTTTTATATTAAATATATACAATTTCAAGAACATCCTCCAAGAAAAATGTATTTCAGAGAGATATTTTAAAATAAAGAGTATTTCTGACCCCTTCAGAGGCAAAAGTTCATGCTGCTGGGTTCAGGTCTAAGGAACAGAGTCCAGATTTGTGTCGACACACCAGACATCTCTGCTCTGGCAAAGTGATTCCCACAGAGCTGTGAGCTGAAAACTTAAACAACAGATGATCAGCTGAATATATCAGGTTCTGTATCAGCTCTTTGTTGGATTTTGACTCCCAGAAACTGTTCAACTGCTGGACAGAGTAACTTATTTTGTCTTCCACTTTTTCCTTGTGCCATTCCACATTATTACAAATAACTTCATTTCTGGACATTTATGGTTTGATTTCTTTGTATGTATGGATCACTTGGGTTGTTACCAACATCTGGTGAAAATTTCATGTCATTAGCACCTCTAGTAATATATTTACTGAGAAAAATGGTGACGTGTTCAATACTTATTTTACCCGCTGTAGGTACATTGTTTTATATCACGAGTACAGTGTTTTTTTTTGTTTTTCTTTTACTTATCTTTCTTTATTCTATCTCACCCTGTCCTGTTTTGAGCTGCTGTAATGTGCAATTTTCCCCACTGTGGGATCAATAAAGTTTTATCTTATCTTATCTTATATTGTTTTGTGTTTCCACTTGGTTGAGTTGCACACAGCCAACCTTTTGAATTAAAGTTTTATCAACAGTAAAATCTTCGTTTTTGTGCTTTAATCTTTGGACTGCACGGTTACATGTTTGCATGTTCATACACAAGTAAATAAAGACTGAAGGAAAGTAAGATAATCACTTGGCAGTCAGAGCGTTGATGGCCATCTTCCTCTCAGTCAAGGTTTCTTGGAGTTGACCAATCTGAACACACGTTGACCTAAAATCAGATGAGAAGATACAAGCTGATCAGAATTATACAGGCTAAGCTGGGGTTCTTCTTCCATGAAGCAGCTCTGTTGTCCTCCATCATCATTTTCAGTTCCAGGCTGAGTCATTTCTACCTTCTCCTGTCTGTCAACGCTCTCTGGTTTCATTTAGAAGAGCTGATTGTCAGATTTTGTCCAAGATTAACCTTCAGGGTGGATATAGCTCGCTAGCAGCCTCGCACCGAGTTGATATTTTTAAAGACTATATTTTACAGTTAAAATACATATTTAGCAAATAAAGTCTAATGATACAAGTAATCGTGGATCACTTTAACAGGGTTCATGCATGTTTTGGTAAGTTAAATTTAAGACCTTTTAAAGACCTTTTAAGACCATTAGTGATGACATTTAAGACCAAATCGACACATTAACAGAAACAAGCAAATGGTCCAAGAAATTTCATAATAGAAACCTTTTATTGCTATCAATTTAGTTATTAAAGAATATTTAATTTTAATACAAGAACACTAAATTATTTGAATGAAACGGTCATATCTGACTGCTGTGAACTGCTTTCAATCGAGTGAAAAAAATCACTGATATCAAGTCAAGTCTCACTGAAAACACACCATGTTTAAACAACAAGCAGTGGACATGACTGAACGTCTGTTTTTGAGCAGGTAAATAAGTCACTGTATGTGGGGGGTTGTAGHGGCAAAGAGGTCAAAAACATGGAAGTAAACTGTGCCATTTTTGCCTGCAGTTATCATGGGATTTGTACTTTAATCATGATCAGTAGCAAACTTTGCACTTCATGAAGACAGATCGTGTCAACCTCTGATTACAACTCTTAACTTTCTTTATTTTTGCAGCCAACGGTTCTCAGGAATGATGAAAAGTAGAAAAAATGAAGACGACTAAATGAAATTTAAGACCTTGGGTGAAAATCGAGATGTTTTTAAGGCTTTTTTAGGCCTAAAATTTTGATTTTCAAATTTTAGACTTTTTTAGAGTTTTTAAGACCTGGCATGAACCCTGTTTAAAGAAATCTAAATAAACCTCCAAAAATTAGAAGAAGTGCACTGCACCAATTCCATAGCTGTGGAAACTGCTTAAAGTAAACAAGAACATTACAATATAACATAAATGAACTGTCTTTATTCTGATTCAGCCAAAAATGGATGCTGCACCAGCAACAGGTAGGAGGATACAACCACATTTAGACCAGTCCCCCAGCTGACGGACCAACACTATACTAATGCTAAAATTTACATCTAAACCAGAAGGGAATACTAACCATAGCCTCAGTGAACTGTCACTAGCAGAAATTCTTCTAAATGATCTAAATGTTTCTTTTGATTAGATTAACCCCATTGTAAACATCCAATACACACCTACCAGACCACACCCCCATCTATTCCTGACCCCTCCCCTAATGATCACCCTACTCTGTCTAATCCTTCTCTGAACCTCCCTCCCTACAAAGCACAGCACATGACAAACACTCAATGTACCGCGCTCTACTCAAACAGTATGCCTACACTCACTTACACAGCACACCAAAAGTATTTGTTCACCCATCCAAATGACTGTGCACCAGTGCACAAAACAAGGTCCATAAAGACATGGATGGAGATCTGGTGTGGATGAAGTTGACTGGCCTGCACAGAGTCCTGACCTCAACCCAATAGAACACCAATATACAATATACACACTTACAACAGGCTGTCTCCAATGGTCTCTTGGAACAACCGACTCCACCATGAACTTCCCATAAAGACAGGACCCAGTGGTCCAGGACTGGACCCGATCTCGAGCGAGCATGTGCTTCCTAAAGGATTTACCAACTCTGTGAAGCCATCGGGCGGCAGGTGGGACTCTCTGAGAAAGTACTCCCCTAACCTGACCCTTTATCCTAAACCTAACCCCTCCAGTACGTGTCTGACTGCAAACCTAACCTAAAATCAATTCACACCTTGGTCCTAAATGAACCCCTGACCCACCAATGGGGACAGAACTGTTGTCCCCATAAGGACAGTGGGTTCTTACCAGGCTGTGTGTACAGGAAAATGGTCAAAACTCCCCAACACCAGGTTGAAAAAACATATACATACAAACACACCAGCAAAAATATTAATGCCCGTTCACCTTTGGCAGCAGGTGACAAATACTGGACTATATAGGACTGTGTTTTACAGCAACATATTAAAGTTTAGTGCAGAGTAACTCAGCTCACCTATTGGAGCGTCCCATTTCCTCTTTCTGCTTCGATATGGTCTCCATCAGACTAAGGAACTGAGGAAAGAACAGACAAGGCACCATGGTTAATTTTGTCCACAAACATATATGGTTTTAATTAATTCTAACCTGGATGAAATAATTGATTACATTATATATTTTGTTACCCAGTAGGTGGCTGTGAAGTGAAACAGGTGAGGTTGTACTTTCAATAACACTGAAGAACTCTCTGGAGATACTGTGGGCTCATCAACATAACCTCAGTGAGTCAGGGCACCCACCTGTTGCTAATTCCTTTTTCTCCTATGCCTTTTCCAAGAATACTGACTACTTATTGAGACAACATATTAAAGCTAAAACCCTACAAAATATGATACGATAAAATAAAAAGACTTTTTTACCCAGAATGGATCAAACTAACTTCAGCATGACAGATATCAGGACTTCCTCATGGTTTGAAGGTTACCTGTCGACCTTTCTCCTCCTTTAGTGACTGGATCTCTTTGCTGAGGACCTGGGTTTTGCTGTGGTTTTCTCTCAGAGAGGACTGCCTCTCTGTGTTGTGTCTTGTGATCTGCTCTGAAGTCAAAAGACAAGAAAAAAAATCTAGTCACAAATTTCAACTGCTTCAATACTCTGCTGCCCAGAAATAAATAACCAACAAAACAAACAAACTGGATGATCAGAACTGTCATGATGATGCAATGTGAGTAATGAGTTATCTAGAAAGCAGCTGTTGACATTTGAGGTACCGAGAGCTTTCAGTATGTCACTGGGGATGTTGTTTCCTGCCAGCTGCAGCTGAATGATGCTCTTGTTCTTCTGAAGTGACTCTAGCAGGGCCCTCCCACCCAGAAGACCAACGTTGTTCCATCTTAGATCTGAAAAGATAACGATTATCAGACTGTTATCATGAACATCGTACTCACATCAGGAAACACTGTAAATGATTAATAAAAAGAATTAACGTTTCAACAGTCCTTGATTGAATGCATGTCATCCACCAGATTATTTCATGTTGAGATACGATGGAGTTGGACCTAAAAACCTTGAAACTAATATTCTGCCTGGTTAGTGTAGTGTAGTGTTAGTGTATATGTTGTGAATGGCCCTCCCCTACTGCCACACTGAATTTTACCTAAATATTTGTACAACTGATGGTATTACAGACCGTTTGTGTTTCATCCATTGCCAACTCCAATGATTACTTTCTGAAAGTTTGGATCAAGAGATATTTTGCTGGCAGACAGTTGAACAACTAATGGAAACATTAAAAAAACAGATCTTGTGTGATTGCTCAGTATTTTTAAACAGGCTGAGGTGTTGGGATTAAATGTATTAAATATTAAACGTGTTGTAAATAACTAAATAAATTAAATATTTTAGCTGATTCGAGCATTTCTTTCTCTACGTCTCCTTGATCTAATGAACTCAGATTCACTCAAATTAAAAGTTGTAGCTTGATTCCAGCAGGAGTCACCTAGCTCCTGCAGAGTGCCGCTGCGTCTGAGGGCCAGAGCAAGCTGAGAAGCTCCTTGGTGGTTGATCTGATTGTTGCGTAGGTCCAGCTCCACCAGCGTGTTGTTGGAGGCCAAACCGTCACAGAAGAGTGAAAAAGCTTCTTCCCACATGCCCAAACCATTCCACTCCAACACCAGCCTGCAGACATGGGCCAAAGTTTACTTCACACTGTCAGCAGGAGAGATACTCTATATTTATAAACATCCTGATGCTAGTGTTGTAGTCCTTGAAATCGGTCTTGGTCTTAAGACCGGTCTCAAGACCAGTTTTTGATGGTCTTGGTCTTGTCTCGGTCTCGGACATTGAGGACTCGGAATTTTATTTCAAGACCACAACTGCAGAAATATCACTAAACAGCCAGATTATTGTCCAATTTATTTGTTAACAATCTTGCTTTCAGTGTATTTAAAACGTAGCTACTGATTTAAATCCAAACCTGACTCGTTGCTATTTATGTGTTTTTGTTACCGGCTGTCACCCATCCCCAGCCCCCATCACTCACATGCAGCACTCCTGGAAAGTGAACAATGGTTCTCTGGGAGCGGTAAAGGATGTATTCAAAATTTTAAGAAAAAAATTTGGCTACATTTTTCATAAATATCATTGTAAAACAACAACAACCAGGAGAAAGCGTACAGCAACTTGTAAATTCGGCAGTGCTTCACTTTCAGAGACAGTGGGGACAACGTAAAACTTTTATCGTCACTAACATTAACAATCTGCCTCTGTAGAAAAACTCTTTCCTCTGCCCTCACACAAAGATTTTATCAATATTAGCTCTACATATTAAGTTAGCTAAAGTGGGGGGAAAGTATTTAGCCAGCACCAACTGTTCAAGTTCTCCCACTTAAAAAGATGAGAGAGGCCTGTGATTGACATCATAGTTAGACCTCAATTATGAGAGACTAAATACTTTTTCCCCGCTGTACATGTATACACAATACTCCATCTTTTAGGGCACTTTTTTTCTGGTCTTGGTCTTGTCTCGGTCTCACCCACCCTCGGTCTTGGTTCCGACTTGGTCCAAACCCTAAAAGTCTTGGTCTTGTCTCGGTCTCACCCACCCTCGGTCTTGGTTCCGACTTGGTCCAAACCCTAAAAGTCTTGGTCTTGTCTCGGTCTCACCCACCCTCGGTCTTGGTTCCGACTTGGTCCAAACCCTAAAAGTCTTGGTCTTGTCTCGGTCTCACCCACCCTCGGTCTTGGTTCCGACTTGGTCCAAACCCTAAAA